AAGCGATTGTCTGCTGTTTCTAACATCTCTTTTATAACTCTACGAGACGACTCGAGAGCTTTGAAGAGATTTCGATCCAAAACGAGGGATTTGCAGTCGTCATCGACACGTGCAACAACGCTGTTGACTTGTTCATCCACGTCAGAGCGAATTTCTTCCAGTGTCTTGTGAATACGGTCGCCAACAAGGTCTGTGGCCGCTTTAAACATGTGCTGGGCCACGGTCTGAACGAACTCCTCCATAGAATCCTTCATTCTCTTGTAAGATCCTATGCCTACTATGATGTTAGGAATTACCAATCTTGATCATGGGAAATAGCATCAACACTTACCACTCTCCTGGCTGCATGCCTGGTACTGCCCTCTCATCATATCCGCAACAGCAGGTTTCAGTAGCCGGATGGCATTCTTCTGACCAGTTTTTAGAGACGTCCTGCCCCTCAAAGAAATAGTATCTTTCACGTTCTCACCCACAGTCTTCATCTGGCTCCGTACCAGATCGTATGAAGGCGAGTCTCGCAGCTGCTGCCGCTCGTGCATCCGACCCTCGAAGTCCTCGAGTGACTTCGCTAGCTCTTTCCCCAGATGCTTGATTCCGCGCGGAAGCGTCTTGCTGAATATCTGTTCCCAGTTGGGAGCAATTCGCTTCTCGATCGGGTCGCATAGCTCCTGATTCCAGTCCAGAGGGCCTCTGGTCGCCTTGAATACGCCGTCCCTGAGGCAGGTTGCGCGGTACGTCAAGAATACAAGGCCACGCTTGCCATCTTGATCTCGAAATTGTCCCCAGGTTTTGGCAGTTTCGACCGCCGTGGCGGTGGCCAGTCGAATTGAAGACTCAAATTTGTCAATAATCTGAGACTTGATGGCCTTTTCGAATCCGTTGAAACTTTCGTCGACCGTGGAATGCAGTTCCTTGGTCAGCTTCGCCAAGGCTTCCTTGAGAAAGGCAAGCTCTTGCTCTTTCAAGTCATCAGCGAGTTTCAGGGGTTTCTCAGCGATGATGATCTGCACGATCAAAGAGACTATGAAACTTGAGACTTCTGTTAAGAGCTTGCGGCAGCCGGCAGCCCGAGTTTCGGCAACGATGTTCATTGCGTGCTCCTGGAGAGCAGGTATCTGTGTCTCTTCAATAGAGAGGAATCCCGTTGTAGGTTCGTCTTTCTTCAGCATGCCCGCCATCTTTAGATAGGCGCGGCTCGAGACACAGAACACTGGGAGCCGTGCTGCAACCTCTGTGTAATCCCTGGCCTCGAACGAAGGGTCGAAATTCTCCTCATCTTACATTGCTGCGTTCTCCTGGTCAAGCCTATCATCTCGCAGTTAGGTTCCTGCTCCATAGACAGTTACACCAGATTGACGTGACTTACTCTCGGATACCTTCCGCGAACTGCTGTTGGATCACTGGCCGGGAATAATTATTCCGAAACTGAATACAAGCGCTCTTGATAAGTGCTTTCATGTGTTCGCATTCATGTCTGGTCTCTCTCAGTTGCTTGCGGACACCCTTAGCTCTTCTCTCCAAGTCCGAGCCCTGTTCTTTGAGAGCCTTTTTCTCGGCCTTGAGAGTTTTGAGGCGCAGCTCTGCAGCTTCCATCGAGATGATTTCAGTATCCTCGGCATATCCCGCATCATCGAGGTCATCGTCGGAATCATCTCCAAAGTCAGACTCTTCACGCCACTGTTGGTCCTGTTTCGAGCGCTTCCTTGCATCGAAATCAGTGTCTTTAGGTTTCCGCTTTGAAGCGACGGTCAGTCGTGTCTTCAAAAAAACTTGGTCGTCCTCGACAGATTCCATAGCCGTCTCTAGAAACTCCATGCTATCCTCACAAATCTTCGAAGAAGCCCTGTTATTATCTAGCAGGTTCTTGATGGGCAACAGCTCTTGTTTCAACTGCTCTTCGTTCCCTTGGAGCACCTGCAAAGTCGCAAAGTCTGAGTGGACTTTATGACTTTCGGGCATGGTGCGCAGAAACTCGGTGACAGATACATCATCTGACTTGGAGCAAACCACTGTCAGTGCAGAGTATGTTCCATCAAATTGGAGCTGGCGCCTGAACGAAGAGCCGAGAAGTGTCTGAGCTGCCTTGTCGTCAACGGCACGAGTAATCGGAGCAATGATCCACAAGCCAGTGCATTCCTCGATGTACTTGGACGCAATGGTTGAGCGGGCTGCGTTTGAATCATGAATACCCGGCTGCAAAACTGTTAGCTTTGGCCAGTTTTTCTGGAGAAATGAATGACTTACAAGATCGACCAGGACAAGACCTGGTTCGAGAACCTTGGATTTGACGAACAAACGAACGACCTTGATGAGAGGCCAGAATTCGGTGGCTCTGTCTGAGTCCTTTTGTCGGCCCTTAGTCTTCTCCTTAGAGTCGATGTAGACTTGAAGTTGCTCGTTGAACTCCTTGATAGTCCAGGCTCGGACTTCTTTTACAGTGCCTAACACACCGGAAACTGAGGGATCCTGAGCTAAACCCTGTGGAGTGAACTTGCGCTTCAAGATATCGTCCCTGAGCAAATGGGGGTAAACGCATCTAATCTTGTCATATGCAACAGCGGGGGCGGATTCGCTACCAAAGAATTCCGCTCCGGTGCTGCTATCTCCTGACCTATTGTCGCCAGGCGCTTGCAGGTCATCGAGGAGAATGTGTAGTTCTTTCATCCATTCGTCCTCCGTGACGAAATGAACCTCCCCACGGAAAGATTCTTGACTGTCATCCGCATCATTGTACTGAATCTCCGTAATGGTGGCGGTACATGCTCGCATGCCGTTTGTGGGCACCAAGCTTTCTTGGTTGAGAACGGCGTTGATAACCGAGCTCTTGCCAGCGCCCGTGCTGCCGACGACGCCAACGACGGTCCTTTGCTTGCAGGACTGCGCCTGTAGATCTTGGATGGACTTGCACCATTTAGCGATTTCCGGAACAGTGCTTGCATCCGCAAAAGCTTTCTGGATATCTGCCAGAAGACCAACGCCGGCATTCAGGGCGGCCTCAAGCTTGGCTGGTGATGTTTCCCTCTTCAGTGCCTGAAGGCAGTCGAGCTTGATCATGTTTAAGTCGGACATGGCGCTCGCTTCATCAGCACGTCAGGCTGAATCAAAACCTTGGTTTGTACAGCGAATGTCTGGCTGTAAATGCTACACTGATGCCCAACGGTTAGCCAGTTGCTGTTATGACATTTGTTTTTGTTAGTAGACATACCTTCAATAGCATCACCGCTTGATTGAGCAGTGACGAGTTCGACTTTGATCACGATTTTGATCGCCACACGAGCGATTAGTGAGAAGGAACTGAAATGTGAAATGATTGTTTTCGTGGTGATAGCAAGACAAGAATCGCGGTTGACAACGAACTTATCCAGATGTCAGTACTGAGAAGGAGAGTGCTGGGGCAAAAAATCAGAAGAGGTGTCTAGACCACCTACCAAAATCTGCCACAATACCCGAATTTCTGTGCATCCGTCGTTTCCACAAAAGGCTCGGGTCTTCACATTCAGAAAGTGAATGGGCGTCTTGATTGGAACCGAGAAGGAATATCACCACGATCTCAGAAAAAGAAACGCAAGGCAACGAAAGGAATTGTGAGTGGGGTGAGAAACGTAGAAGGAGTCCCAAATGACCTCCGGTCGAGAACACTGCGGGGCAACCGCGGGAGACCGAGTAAACAAACCGTAGAGGTTCTCAATGTCTGGTACGGCTGGGTACTTTTGATTTGATCAGCTGGGGTCATTTTTTGTAAAGCAGAAGATGAGACGAAACAAGAAATACTGGCCAATCGTCCACACTGATAGACTCGCCTCACTTAGGGAGGTTTGGAACAGCAAACCGTGGACTTTGTGCCGGAGGAGTGGGATAGATAAGGTAACCGGGTCAACCAAGAATGAGGGCAGGTCCCGTACGATCGCAGCTGCTGGGCCAATCACTCTAGCCATCTTTTATCACGAAGACCAGAGGCAAGAGCAGCAACCTGGATGACCATTGTCAACGCCTCAGTGCTGATGCACTCTTACGTGTGTGCAATCGGTATCATGGAGTTGATAGAACCAGTCCATAATCGTCGTGACCTTCCGGACCAATGGTAGTAAGGATCATCAGGGGTATCCAGACATTTGAACGTTCAGTTGGCCAGATGGTATCGTGGTTGGTGTCAACGACGAGCTGTATCAGCTGTCAGGTTTTCTTTGCGTACATCCTTCGATGGTATTTATCACCAAGCAGCTACCGTCAGAGTGCTTTTGGAAAGCTGTGAGGCCGACATCTTGCCAGGAGTATTAAGTATATGTTTGAACTTCTTAATGACGAAGCTTGGCTGGAATTCGATATCTCGATCTTGCTGGTTGCCATAGGGAGTCCGGAATTGTATAGTGTTCGGACACTGTTCACGTATAACAGCTAGGCAAATGCCACGGGCAGCATAATTGAAAAACTACGTTCTCAGATGATACCATTCCAGGATAATTTGCAGTTGTCCATGAGGCCATTTCTTGAGCTTGTGGCATCTGGGCGAGAGATGTTGACGTTGGAGGAGTTGAATGCGGCTCAAAGTGCCCAGAAGGGTGCCTGGCCGGCTCCACCATAGAGCTACGACCCACAATTTTTCGGAGCTTTGGACTTGACCGCCTTCCTGATCTGGCTTGATGTCTGGAATGTCAATCGCGCCAACTGCTGCGTCCCATCAGAACCCCCCAGGGAAACTCGCGACCAAATTGCACACTGCCGTACCAAAACGCCCAACAAACACCGAGTGACCGCTTAGTAGTTTCTTTCTGAACTGCCTCCCCTCCCACTTTAGTCGTGTCCATCCATCACATAAAGCGCATCGCGTCGACACGAAATCAAACACCGACCGAGAAGTCTTCACTACAGCTCCTGTAACAAGATCCATTTCCAGACTCCATCTCCTGAGTAGCTCTTTGGGATCCTTTACCAATAGGTTCCTTCTTCCGAACCAAACAGCCACCCTTTCCCATCAAGAACCAATTCGTGTCGCAGCAGAGAACGCAACAAACGGCGAAATGTCTACAATAACCTCCAACGCTCTCCAGAGCTCGGTGCCACCGACCATTCCCCTACCCTTCAACGCCAACCAGCCCGAGACGATCCGCCTCTACCCGCTATCAAATTACACATTCGGCGTCAAGGAGACGCAACCGGAGGAGGACCCGAGCGTGCTGGCGCGCCTGAAGCGACTCGAGGAGCACTACAACGCGCACGGCATGCGGCGCACGTGCGAGGGCATCCTGGTGTGCCACGAGCACAACCACCCGCACATCCTGATGCTGCAGATCGCCAACGCCTTCTTCAAGCTACCAGGCGACTATCTGCGGCCGGAGGACGATGAGATCGAAGGGTTCAAGCAGCGGCTGGACGAGCGTTTGGCGCCCGTGGGCAGCCTCGGCGAGGGCGAGAAGGCGGGTGACTGGCAGGTGGGCGACTGCCTTGCGCAGTGGTGGAGGCCCAACTTTGAGACGTTCATGTACCCCTTTGTACCGGCCCATGTGACGAGACCGAAGGAGTGCAAGAAGCTTTACTTTATTCAGTTACCCAAGTCGAGTATGTCTTGTGCTCTTCCTCCTCGTCTATCTACTCTTTTGTCCTTTGCTTCTGTGAGACGCGTGCTAACCCTCGTACTTTTTCTCCCAAACTAGAGGTCCTCAGCGTGCCGAAGAACATGAAGCTACTGGCTGTCCCCCTTTTCGAGTTATACGACAACACCGCTAGATACGGCCCACAACTTTCCGCCATCCCCCATCTTCTCAGCCGCTACAACTTTGAGTTCGTCGACGAGAACGGCGAGGTGGTGGCTGTTACTCCGGGCGATGGAGACGGCTATGTGCCCAAGACCAAGATCCTTGCGAGTGGTGATGATGTGGATATGAAGACGGAAGAAGGCAACGGTCCTTAGAGAGCACAGCAGTCTTTCTTTTCCCTGCTGAAACACATGCATGACGCGAGGACGGGGCCCGTTGAGATCACAGCGGTTGGGATGGAAAACGACGAGGAACATTGACTGTCACGGCATCGCTCAACGCACAAGTCAAGGGGTTCGCGTCCGTACGAGGAGCATGAAGATTAAGGATACGAGTGTTTAGACTACAGGAGGAGCAGTGCTGTCTGCACAGCCAGGCGGGTTTCTGTTCCCCCTTGTTCTTATTGTACTGAGCAGGATAATAAAGGGTCAAAGGTGACTAAAGATGGCGAAAGAGTGAGGTTAGGCGAGACACTGACTGTACTGGGTTGGGATAAAGGCATGACAGACAAAACAGAGCTCTTGCTCCTTGGTAATGAGACTAGGTCTAAAGAAGAAGAAAAAAAATAATCATAGCTTTTCAACATATCCTTACTCCTTTCCCTTTTCTCCCTGAATGGTGGCTACTATGTTGCGCCTGTGCTTATGAGCGCGGAACTCGAGATACCAGATGCCTTGCCATGTGCCGGTGGCCTGAGGACATATTCATGTCAGTGACTACGAGCTTTAGTGGACATCGAGGTATCAAACGTACCAGCTTTCCGTTCGTGATGGGAATCGTCACGCTCGTGCCAATCAACGACGACTTGACGTGAGCAGGAAAGTCATCCGGGCCCTCGTCGTTGTGTCGGTACAAGTCCGGATTCTTGCTTGTGGCCTCGGGCACGATGCGGTCGAGGGTGTCGCTCATGTCCAGTCTCACATCCTATAACGATGACAACACATGGAAAGTTAGACGAGGAGCTGATATATGTCATGGTATTTTCTTCATCGAGCTTCAAAGGAGACTTGGATCGTATAGTATGCCCAAAAGGGAATTACGAGATATGAGCATTATCAAAAAGACTCATTCCTCAAGGTTCAGACGCACCGGATCCCAATTCTCATTCAAGCTCAACGCACAGCTCGTATGCTGAATGAACAAATTCAGCAATCCCACTTTATACTGCTTGATCTCCGGCACCTCCTTCGTCACAATGTCCGTAATCAAGTAGGCTCCGCGGGACTGAGCGGGCAGTGTAAAAGTCTTTTGCGACCACGACATGGCTGAGGCTTGTGATGGTTGTTGACAATACGGAAGCTCAGTAAAATTGGGCAATGACGTCGATGGCGGCGATGCTGTCCCTGACGAGGAGAGTAGCGACGACAAAACACCAAAAGGAAAAGCCAAAAGTTTGAGCGGGAGGTTCCACAAATAGTGAAAGCTGCTGGGGAAGAAGGCGACGAGGAGAATGAGGAAAAGTAAAATGGTGGTTTTTTGGGAAGTTTGGGGGGCGGTTCGTGGAGGCATCACAAGCTGGAAAAGATGGATGGAGTCAATTTTAGGTAAGTACCAGAAGCTGTCACGGGCGGTAGGTAGCTGGTTAGGTAATGTATATACGCAATCCTGGTTATGTGTAGAGGTATGTAATGGTGGGGTGGGGCGGGGAAGCAGTTTGGTATGTATGAATGTAGAGTGGAGGGTAGGCAACTGATTTCAGAAGCGAGGTGTGCTCCAGCTCCGTCTCGCTTTCATTACCTACCTACTTGTATGTTGAAGACGATGACAATGAGGACTGCTCGGAGCTTGGAGTTTCAGCAGCTCGCCTTCAGGCTTCAACGTCATTGCTCTGTTGTGCTGCCCGTCAGTTGGTGTTACACGCGAGTCCTATTTGCGGGCAGTGAGACATAGTCTAGTGGATTGTGGGTGTAGTGTAAGAGCTGCAGTTCGGATCACGGTTCATAGTGTAGCATGACGGCTGTTGTGAGGATGAGTGCCCCATTTCTTTAGACGTCAAGGTTGAGAGACAGAATACATATCATGTCTATTTCTTCATACGTTCATGTTGAACATCGACTTTGGCAGGCCTATCTGTAGACAGCCAGTCATGCCGTCTGAGCATATCAGATGCTTCACGTTGTCGCCATAACACTGTCTCACCGCTGTCATCTTCAATTCGTGAAACATCTGATGAGTCTGGACAACCTGCCAACGCACTTAGCGTGGCATTGGTGATTATTGTGAGCAGTGAGATCCTTCCCCCAAGCCAAGCGTTCACCTTCAGGTACACCTGTTGCAGCGGAAGATGAACGCTGGGTTCCATTACGGTTCGTGAGCAGGGCGGGACGTCCCGATTCCCAAGATACCTGAACTTGTTCTGTCTGTTTCCGGCCTCAAAACCCCAAGGACGGGATCGGATATCACCAGTTGAACACGTCTTCCAGGCTCTAGGCAAAGCCTACGTGTCGAGTTTCCATCATCTTCACCGCCGGAACCGCGATTCCTCCACATCGAATACTTCAACGGTGCACTAGTAGACGGGCGCGAATCGTGCTTTGTGCCCTGACATATCGAGGTTGCTGTCGTCACGACTCTGGTGGGCTGCTAGCGCGTTCGAAGCAGTAGGCGGCTTTGCAACGTGGGAACGCTGTGGAAGCCTGTAAAAGTGGACGGCATCATTGGTGGGGCACAGGTGCGAATGTCGACCGAGTGGGGATTGCAGGAATGGCAGCGATGACCGTTAGAAAAGGACATGAGACCGACGACCTGCTTCCGCTACGAATGCTGCGGATTTGTCAGCGACCAGAGTACTGCGCTATGAGTGCACTTTGGAAAAGTCGCCATCGGGCCAATTGACTTGCCGATCTGCTGTGACATGCGCCAAAGAAAGTTGCATCCAGCGCGAGGAAAGAGCCAGCCACAGAACCGCGGAAAGTGCAAGGCTCTCTCTTATCTCCGTCTTTCTTTCCGACTGCCGTCTGTTCTCTGTTCTGCCTGCCTAAGTAGCGAAGGTAGAGGTAGTCGGCGAGCTTTCAATTTAGGTAGACGGATTGCAGTGCCCGCTGTTGCCTTCGATCCCACAGCTTCCACTTCTTTCTTGTTTCATCTTAGCTTTTTTTCTCAAGGGTTCCTCTCGCTCTTGATTACCGAGCAAGTCGCCGCACTACCCTAGGTGGGAGACGACCCACGACTGACGGCACCACAACCACAACTTTACTACTACTACTACCTACAACTCCGTACAAGCAAAGTCAAGACGAGCATCTTATTATATACATCGGCGACGATTCCGTTGTGATCCCGCTGTGGGCAATCTGAAAGGTCTTTCAGCGTGTGACACCGACGAGAACCGAATCCCGACTTATACGTCTCGTCGCATAACTTTTCGACTTTGCTTCTTTCCGAGCGCAAAGAGCCTGCAAAACCCACAACATTTACCCCGTGCTATGACGCGTTTGGACATTGCTACGAGGGTATAGTTGCGCCAATGGGGCTCGAATATATAGACAGCGACGGCTTCGGCTCGCAGAGGGTCCTTTTCTACGAGAGCGGCTCGTTTACCGGTTATCGCCCTTCCGTTTTCGACCTGGGTAGCGGTTATCTTGCGGCGTCAAAGGACTTCAAACAGCCGCTATGCGGTAACGAGGAGGGATGGGGACCGATGAGTCCCTTTCGATATGATTTCACGCCGTGCTTTATCGACGTGTGGGTGGCTTCGGTTGCTGCCTTTGGTCTTGTTGCAGGATCCGCCGCGGTATGGTGGTTGGTAAAGAGGAAGACGCCAACGCCAGTGGCCAAGGACTGGCATTTCTGGTTGAAGCAGGTACGTTACAACTGTCGAGCAAGACAAGAAGTGCGGCATATGTCTAACATTCTTCGGAAAAGGTACTCCTAGGTTTCATTATAGCCGACGTTGCCGTCCAACTGGCTATACAGATCGTCAGCTACCCCAATATCTGGTATGGCGATTTCAGAGTCTGGACCACAGCCGGAACCATTCTATCGCTCTTCGTCATCTTTGCCATCCAGTGGCTCGAACACGCGCGCCTCCGCAATGCAAACGGCGTCGTTCTCTTCTACTGGCTGTTGCTCCTCATCGCCCTTGCAGTCAAGCTCAGGTCTCTCATTTCTCAACAAATCTATGCCAAGAACGAGGCCTACTTCATCACCTACTGCATCGGCTTCGGTCTCTCTGTGGTTGAGTTCTTCGTCGAGTGGTTGTGGCCCAAGAAGGATAATGCCTATGAGGCTCTGATCGACGAGCCGGAATGCCCGGTGGATTATGCGACCGTTTTCTCCAGACTGACTTTCTCGTGGATGACTCCTATGATGAAGCACGGCTATGCCCAGTATCTGACCGAGGAGGATCTCTGGGGACTGGCAAAGAGCGATACTACCAAGACTACCGGTGGAGCGTTCGCCAAGGCATGGGAACATGAGTTGAACAAGAAGAAGAAGCCCTCCCTGTGGCTCGCTCTTTTCCGTGCCTACGGCGGTCCTTACATCCTTGCTGCCTTCTTCAAGATTGGAAACGATCTTTCGGCTTTCGCGCAGCCCCAGCTCCTCAGGTACCTGATCAGCTTTATTGACTCTTACCGTGAGGGACAGGAGCCGCAACCCGTGATCAAGGGTGCTGCCATCTCTCTCGCCATGTTTGCGGTTGCCACTTTCCAGACCACCATGATCCACCAGTACTTCCAGCTCGCTTTTGAGACCGGCATGAGGATCAAGGGTGGATTGACTTCATCCATCTACAGGAAGGCCCTTAAGCTGTCCAACGAAGGCCGTGCCAGCAAGACAACCGGAGATATTGTCAACTACATGGCTGTCGATGCTCAGCGTCTTCAGGACTTGACCCAATTCGCCCAGCAGGCGTGGTCTGCTCCGTTCCAGATCACTCTTTGCATGCTTTCTCTTTACCAACTTGTTGGATGGTCCATGCTTGCAGGTATCGGAGTTATGATCGTCATGATTCCCATCAACGGCATGATCGCAAAGTTCATGAAGAATCTGCAAAAGCAGCAGATGAAGAACAAGGACGCCAGAAGCCGTCTCATTGCCGAGATCGTCAACAACATGAAGAGCATCAAGTTGTATGCATGGGGCACAGCCTTTATGAACAAGCTGAACTACATCCGTAACGACCAGGAGCTTAAGAACCTGCGCAAAATCGGTGCTGGCCAGGCTTTCGCTAACTTTACCTGGTCTACTACACCCTTCCTTGTCTCATGCTCGACCTTTGCCGTGTTTGTCTGGACCCAGGACAGGCCTTTGACGACTGATATTGTCTTCCCTTGTCTTGCCCTGTTCAACTTGCTCACTTTCCCTCTTGCGGTTCTTCCCATGGTCATCACCTCTATCATTGAGGCTAGTGTCGCTGTCGGTCGTCTTACCTCCTACCTCACCGCTGAGGAGATCCAGCCTGACGCTATCATCGTCAAGCCTCCCGCTCAGGAGCTTGGAGAAGAGACGGTTGTTATCCGTGACGGTACTTTCTCCTGGAACCGTCACGAGAACAAGCCCGTTCTTACCGACATCAACTTCCGCGCACACAAGGGCGAGTTGTCCTGCATCGTGGGCCGTGTTGGTGCAGGCAAGAGTTCGTTCCTGCAAAGTATTCTGGGCGATCTATGGAAGATTAAGGGCGAGGTCGAGGTTCATGGAAATGTCGCCTATGTCGCTCAGAACCCTTGGATTATGAATGCCACTGTGCGAGAGAACATTGTTTTCGGTTACAGGTTCGATGCGGAGTTTTACGACAAGACGGTCAAGGCGTGCGCTCTCGTTGACGACTTTGCTCAGCTTCCTGATGGAGACGAGACGGTTGTTGGAGAACGTGGCATCTCTCTTAGCGGTGGTCAGAAGGCTCGTGTGGCTTTGGCTAGAGCTGTCTATGCTAGGGCGGACATCTACTTGCTGGACGATTGTCTTTCGGCTGTTGACTCCCACGTTGGACGCCACATCATCAATCATGTTCTCGGTCCTAAGGGTCTCCTTGCCTCCAAGACCAGAATTCTGGCCACCAACTCCATCCCCGTCCTTGTTCAGTCCGATTACATCTGCTTGCTTAGCGACGGCGAGATTGTCGAGAAGGGCACTTATCGCCAGCTCATGGCCATGAAGGGCCTCGTTTCCGAACTGATCAAGTCTGCCGGTCAGAACGATTCTGGTTCCAGCTCACCGAGTGGCTCTTCCCCTAATGGTAGCGACAGCGAGACCTCTACGGTGATCGAGGCAGAAGCTGGCCAGGAAAAGGATGAAATGGAGGAAGCACAAGAAGGACTCACCACACTTCAGGCCATCAAGCCTGGTCCCGGAAGTTCGTCGGCTGCTGGCAAGAGGAGAACTGGAAGCATGGGTACTCTGCGTCGTGCCAGCACTGCAAGCTTCAGGGGTCCCAGAGGCAAGCTCGGTGACGAGGAAGCTCCGAACAGCAAGACGAGACAGGCTAAGGAACACT